AGCCCCCCCCCGAGATCCACCAGGAGCCGTCCCCCAAACCCAACAGCAAGGCCCCGGCCATCCTGTACACCTACAGCGGGCTGCGCAACAAGAGAGCTGCTGTCTACGTGGGCAGCTTCTCCTGGGTGAGTGCCTCGCTCCTTGCCTGGGCCTGGTGTGGGGAGGGGGGCTCCAACTGGTGGAGCAAATGTGGATGGGGATCTTCAGAAACAGCCCCTGAGGGGCTGTGGGGCTCTTTGGAGGTGCTGGTCCTCCTCTATCCAGTGGCCCAAGATGGATTGTGAGCTGGGCTTGACTTTGGGATCAGCCCTGAGGGGCTTCAGATCCCGCTGGGGGCAGTTGATCAGTGACCATAGCGCGCTGGCTGCTGCCCCTGCCTGGCTCTGCCACCTTGGAGCTGCATGGATGAGTCCTCTTCTCCTTGATGGACAGTTCTGGGAATGCTCTATCTTATCCAGACCTCCGCTAGCTGTGCCCAGGGCTTGTTTCAGTCTCGAGGTTGATTGTAAACTCCATGTCTGGGCTCTTGAGGGTGTCTGTACTCAAGTGCCTCGAGCCTGGGTGTAAGCAGGGGGTCAGTGAAGGGCTACATGAGCTGACCCCAGCATCTTTCTCCTCCCCTCAGTGGACAACTGACCAGCAGCTCATCCAAACCATCCGCTCAGTCGGTGTCTACGACGTGGTGGAGCTGAAGTTCGCAGAGAACCGAGCCAACGGCCAGTCCAAAGGGTGAGAATGGGGGGATCCAGGTCATCACCCCCACATGGTTTGTGGTGAGGGGGCAGACGGTGCTCTTCCTGGCTGGTGCATCTGCCTGGAGCTGGGATGGTGAAGCTGAGACTCCCAAACAGCATGGGATAGGGAGGAGGGGATGTGGGACACCAGGCTGGGTTCAGCTTGGGGCTGCCTGACCAACCACTTGTGCTTCCCCGCAGGTACGCAGAGGTGGTGGTTGCCTCTGAGAACTCAGTGCACAAGCTCCTGGAGCTCCTGCCTGGCAAGATCCTCAACGGGGACAAGGTGGAGGTGAGGCTGGCCACCCGGCAGAACCTCTCACAGTTCGAGGCCCAGGCTCGCAAACGTGAGTGAGGCGAAGGCCCGGCGTGGCACGGGGGGGTCTCCACACTGCAGGTCCCCAGCAGAGCTGTCAGGCTGAACCCACCAGCACCTCAGGGTGGGGGGGACACTGCCAGGAGTCTCTGGGGGTTGTTTCCTATTGCTGCTGAGTCTGATTAGATCCTGACCCGAGTCTTTATGATCCCCTTTTTAGGTGCTCACACACTGCGAAGATCCCTCGTAGCCTCCTCCTCCTCCTCTCCAAACTGAATGGGCTTAAGCTCTTCAGCCTATCAACATAGCTAAGACCCTCCATATCTATTAGTAGCTCTTCTCTGGATCTCCTCCAGAACTTGTCCATCCCTGCGGAGGTAAGGTGCCCATCACTGGACACAGTATTCCAGCTGGGGCCTGGCCATGGGGCTTTCTACAATGGCAATAGGTGGTCCTCGCCTCACTCCGCAGCGATGTGACGCCCCAGCCCCACTGCTGGGGGGCTCTGCTGGACCCACAGGGACTGTTTGGGCAGGAGCATGTTTGGCAAGAGGAGGTCTTGGCCAGCTCTGGTCATTGTAGATCCCATGGCCTGTTTCACACAAGGAAAAACCACTTCTTCCTGAGCACCCTGGCAGGTTGCAGCTTCCTTCCTTGAGCTCCATCAGTTGCTTGGCAGCACTGGGCGCTGTTAGACCGTGTCCAGACCTGCCCTTGTGTTCTGGTGGAGCACAGGGTGTTCCCTCACCCCGCCAGGCACCAGGGTTACAGCCTGGCCCCAGGGGCCTCATCATGGCATGGCTGAGCTCCTGTGAAGCCTGAAGGGTGCTTGGCTCGATGGCCATCAGAGCAGCAGAGCCTGGTGGGGCTCAGCGCCCTCATTGTACATCAGTCCCATCCTCAAAGCCTCTTTGGACACAGCAGAGGTTCCTGTCCCTCTCTTTGAGGGCAACGAGGCACCAAGTTCTCCTTCCTCCAGCAGCTCCGTTGCTGTCAGCACTTGGGTTCTGTCCCCTCGTGTTCCTCCACGCTCAGGCCTTTCTGAACCCATATTGGATCTTTCTCTGGGGTGTTTAATCTCTTCGGGGACCCAGCGACCTCTCTGCTGGGGAACCTCTCACCCTCTCTTGTGGCTTTTGGCTTCTGTCCTTGTTACCCACTTGCTCGCCCCGCGGGGCGCTGGCACCGGGGACCGGGAGCTGCTCCCCTCTTGGAGGCACGTGGAAGCGGAGGCTACGTGTGGCTGCGGCTGGATCTTGCTCTGGGCACCTCGAGCTCTCCCGAGGCCGGAATCTCACGGGGCTGAGGGAGAGGATGGTCCTTGCGCTGGTCACCGCGGGTGGGGAGTGAGAGGAAGAGGAGGAGGAGGAGGACTCCAAGACCTGCAGATGCTCTGACTGTAGCTCATGGCTCTTTCCCATCCCGCTTCC